CTTCCAAACGGCCAGTTTTCTTGGTTTCGTTTTTTGAAGATTTACTTTTGATAAGTGACGGCTTCTTGGTCCATCGATGTTTCTCACATGAAAGAGGAAATTTCATCAAAAATTCATCAGGGCCGTAGGACCAACCAATACCTTACGTCTGTCATTTTCACACGAAATGAAAAGTACACCGACTTCAGTTTAGCAAGAGATTCTGTAAATCCTCGTTTCGCTTCATATGCAATGAGGGAGCCTTTTTGAGGCAAGACAAGACAACTTTCATAGGTCTAGTGTGATATAGACATCCAATTAAACAAAATTCACCCATAGTTCTTCCATCATCTCCGGATGGTCTAGAAGCCAGCCCATTCGGTGACGAGAGATCAGCTGTCATTTAAGTGAGTATTTATCTCTAGGAGCATGTTTAGGCCCACTCATCTAATTGTTACAGTCTCCCTAGGTTGCATAATTTGATGAACGATTGATTGGAGAATTTTTTACACTCAGATGAGTAGTCTTCGACTCCTATAAGATGTTCCCAACTGAACTATTTCGAGTGAAAGTCTTCAAAGGTCGGTTCCACCAGAAGACGACGGCGGATTTCTCTTGACCAGCTGTCGATTGGCTCGCCTGGAACATTCATACTGATTCATTCCGACCTTGCGCAATCGGAGTGATGGTTATGACATGTTTGTAGAAAGGGGGAGCTAGTGGTCATCAAACCTTGGTGGCCAAAAACAAACGTTACTTTTGCTGTCCTCATTACTTTAAGCCATCACTTCGGGTTTCGTGCATAAGCGAACACAAACAGGCACATACACACTCACATTCATCGAAGTTGACCTATGACCTTAACTAACCAAATCCCTTTATACTTGATCAAAGAGGCCAGATGTAGAGTATATATACCACTTTTTAGGAATTTGCGGGTGAGTTTTCTTGACTTGTTAGCTTCAATTTTGTTGTGACAATCTTACCTCATGTGACGGACGAAAGCTTAGCACCTTTTCACTGGAATCGAAAGAGATTGCCTCGGCAACAGCGTCAGCATGAATGTTCCAGTAAAGCCAATCGACAACTGGTCGAGAGGAATCCGCCGTCGTATTCTGGTGGAACCGACCTTCAAATCTCTTCACCCAAAACTTTCACTCAAAATGGGAGTAAGCTCAACAATTATGAGACAAGAGATTCGTCAAAACCCAACTTTTCCTTGCATATATAAACTGGACTAGACTGCCGTTTGAGCTTCAAGCGGGTCCTTCCAACCGCCTCAATGTGAATGGAATTTTAGCAGTGCAGGTTATTATCTCAACACGTGGACATTTGGATGCAATTCTCGCCAGAAAAGTTGATGAAACCAGTCCAGGCGAGGTCAAAATTTTCGTTGCTTCTGGACAAGCATATCTTCTAGAAAGCAATTGTCAGCAACATTCACTGGAATCTAACTGTGGAAAAATTGAAGATTTACTTATTGCCTTGGAATCTACTTTCCATGCAACCTGAAAGGTCAGTTCCAAACTAATTTTGGGTCACTTGGTATGATTAAGACTTTGCGCAAGTGTGTAGACTTTCTGGTAGAAGAAGCACATACGCGTGCTTTGTGACTGCCGGTAGCGTGAGGCATAAAATGCTGTCGAACCGTATGCACATGGGCTGGGCTTACCTGCTGTTGAGTTGCTATGGCCGGTCTCCAAGGCAGCCTCCGCTCCCGGCCCCTCTCCGAGGAGGCAGTGGCGACACGACGTGACGACCGGCAGTCGAGGATCGCAGTTGACGCGCCTCAGCAACAGGTCAGTCGTGGCAGCGGAGGTCGAGTCGGCCACTCGTTGGCGCCAGTCCGGCTCTGATCGGCCCGGCCTCGGAGGCGATCCGTCGGCCCGACCAGATTCGTGGCTGCGCTCGTCGCCGAACGCACGATTCGGCCGACCCTCGAGATCCGAGACTGGTTCGACCGGAAGTGGTGGCAGTTGGCGTTCCGAGGGACTCTTCACAACCTCGGTCGACCGTCTGAAATGGGTGGGTGGATGGGATGCAAAAGAGGGGAACCAGTTGAGAAGAGGGCTCTAATACACTCACAGACAGTCTGTATCATTTCGCGATGAAACCCAATTCATTTTCAACACCAAAAGTAGTTCTCAATCGGCTTGGACTACAAATTCAGCTCCAAATGCCCCAACTGGACTGGAATATCAGCGTTCCCAAGGTGAAGCAGCCCTCTTTCAAATTCATATCTTTCGTAGGTATGAAGACCAAGATGGTGTGGCATTTTGTGTGGTCGCGGTCTCCTTTCGTTGTATACAAGTTGTTTGACCTTGTTTGCGCAACATGGTCATATTGATAGGAAAACTTAGAGGAATGCACCTTGTCCGGAGTCCATTGTCTGCATCATCATTTCCAAAGTCGAAACGTGGCATCGTCAGTGAGTATCGCCATTCTTAGCACCACACAACAACTCGTCAAAGAGACAAGTGAAATCGATCCTTTGCTAAACAATTGTGGTATCTCTCCTTCCACCCTGGGCTAATCACCAATCCCATATTCTCGTATCACACCTTCACCATTACAATTTCATGTCGCTCAAAGGAGCACCCCATACTATCTAAATAAACACGGTAAAAATTTTAATAATGCAGGTATGCTAGGTATGATACAGGAAACGCGAATAACCAAGGGCAGAAGAATGGCTAAGAATGGCGAGACTCACTGATGATGCCGGCGAAACGTTTGGGAATGTACCACGTCCACGGTT